TTCAGCAAACTTTTAACACGTGAGGAAGTTTGGTTCTACAAATATGATTTAAAAACAAGTACGATGGAATTCCGAAGGTGCTGATCAACCCATTAGGGCCAGGTAACAGAAGTAATGATATCAATTTATTTCATAGAGAAAAAGTTGTTGCTGGTATTAGTATGTAGTCTGAATAAACCGTATTTGCAAATGGATATACTAACACCTGCAGTCGAAAATTTGTAGACAAACCTGCAGTACGATAACATGACAACTTACACTGCTAAAAAAAAAGAACAATTGTATTGAGCTCTCAGGAATTAAAGTAGAAATTCGTCCAATACCATATTCTCCAGATATAGAGCCGGTTGATTTGGGATTGTTTCTAAATATAAAAAAAAATTTGAGAATGGGTCTTTGGTAATAATGTGGAGGTAATTAGTACAGTTTATTCTAAGTTGGTGACTCAAAAAAGGCCGTCTTTGAGAATTCCTACAGTATAGTAATGAGGCTTTAAAAATGTACAATAATGATGAAGATTATAGTCATAAAATTAAAACTACTGCCAACTCTTTTTGTATTTTTATTAGTCGACTTATGTATATATATAGTATATATGTATATATATTGATTATTATAAATATCAACTTTAATAATAAATTTGATAATAAGGATAATAAGGTGTTACTATATGAAATGAAATTAATTATTCTTCTTGGTTTTTGTTATTTTATTAGTCTCATCGGTTATCTGTTTATCTTTATGTTTTTAATCAATTTTAATAATAAATTCGATATACAATATGGTGTTACCATATTACCATAGTCTTTTCTGTGCTTTTGTTAGTCCCCTCGTACATGTTACCTTCTGTTACCTGTTATAATTTTATTTTTTAATAATCAATTTTAATAGTTTTATATATTTAACAATTAATGTAGTGTTACTATATTTATTAAAATTTTTTTATTTATTAAAGAACCGAAACCGAATAAAAAAAACGCCCCAACAAGTAACAATGCAAATGCAACAAGTACAACAGTTGCAAAATTTTCAAATACAACGACAGGAGCAGCAAGGACAAAAACTACTACTACAACATTTGAATCAATGCAACAGCAGCAACATCAGCAACAACAACATCAACATCAGCAACAAATCCAATTGCAGCAACCACAACAACAGCAACAGTTAACTAACAACATAATATTGTTACGTGGCTCACGCAATGAAAATGGGCAAATAGTTATACAAAATAAGCATGACATTATAAGTTTTTTAAATGAGCAACAACAGCAACAACAACAACAGCAACAATTGCAGCAACAAAGAAATGAGAAAGCAGCTGTCGCTACGTTAACCCAGTTACCAACAACAACAACTGTTGCACGTAAATCGATACATCAAGCAACAACATCGACACCAAGTATTTCTCTTGTACAAAATGTCAACAAAGAAGCAAATTCAAATACAATTGTGGGCAGCATTGGTACTAGTGGGTCAAATACCATACTTCTACAGACACCCATAAATGCTAGTCAATTGGAAACGGTGCTCTTGCAGACGGCACATTTAAAGAAATCAACATCCGCAACAATAACACCAACAACCGTGACGTCAGCCGCAAATGAGCGTCCATTTCTTATTAAAAGTGTAAGTGTTAAGGAGTTATTTTATATTTAATTAATATTATATATTGATCTCTTATATATGATAGAATATAGGGTCTTTCAAATTCATTATCATTCATTTTTCATAAGAAAAAAAATTAGCTAAAAAATCGTAAAGCTTCTATTATTAATTGATATTTTTATTATATTTTTTTTTATTTAGTCTTCGCGCAGTCTAAGTACTGACAGTAATCGCCAAAGCCATGGCGATAGTAAAGGACCTTTTGTGCTACAAACACTTAAACGTTTAGAGAAATCACAATCTATTTTGGTTATACGTAATTCTTCCTCAAGTTCAAACTCTTC